ACAGGGACCTAGATAACTTGGCTCAAAGTGAGGAGGCCCTTCTATTACAGGTTTAAGGCAAAATTCCAATTTTTTAATAAAAATGTTTTTTGATAAGCCCAAAACTCTTGTTTTATGATCTATACTAATGACTCGTGAGTGAAAAAAAGGCGAAAAAAACAGGCACGTCGTGTCTAGATCAGAGCACAAGGAGCTGGGAAAGTTGGACAAAAACAAGCAAGGCATTGCATTGCTGATAACATTTTGGTTCTGAAAAAGCCTTATCAGACAGGACAAAAAAAAAATTTTGGCGAAAAATTTGAAAAAAAAACCGTTTTGTCAGTTGATCACTTTGTGATATCTTTTTCATGAAACAAGAGAAATTGGCTCAAAGTTTGGGGACCCATCGATCGGCCTGCAGCAGAAGGGCGCATAACATTGACGCAATATACATATCTTGGTTTCTGTAAGAGGTATCAGAAACGTTTGGCAAATAAAATGCTTGTGATAATATCATGAACATTTTGTCAGTTGACAGCTTTCTGATATCTCTTACAGTAATTGAGATAAATTGGCTCAAAGTTTGGGAATCTTCGCAGAAGGGCTCCTAGCTTTGACGAAATATATCTTGGTTTATGTAAGAAGTATTTATCGAAAATTATTCAATGATAAAAAGCTTATTATGTTATCAAAAAATTTAAAAAAAAACAAGATAAACTACCTTAAAGTTTGGTGTCCCTTTAGATAGTTATGCTCAATTTGAAGGACGAAACTTGCTAATTTTATACAATTTTTAGTTTTTTGATTCCGGCAAAAAAAGTCTGATTTCTAAAGTTTTGAAGATATTTGAATCTGTTCAAAACATACAATTTTGAGCTCAAAGAAGAAGCTCAAAAACCAGAGCCATGTTTCAAAAAACTAGACTACAAAATGGAATAGGTTCTCTCTCCAGAAATAAAAAAAAAGCCTAGAGAGGCCGCCCTTTTCACCATCCATTTCGAAGAATGGCCCATTCGTCTGACACAAAAACGAGTTTAGAGATAAAAAGGGAGCGAGACGCAGAGATAAACGGAAGAGAAGGGGCTCGCACTATGTCATGCACTAAAAGGACACCTTTTGAAGAGAGGGGGAACGAGAGGACAGGAAGGTTGTAACATTGAAATGGCTTTGGTGTCAGATAGGATGGTTGAATTGCAGAAAGATCATGGCCAGATTGATATATAGGGGGGGGGGGGGGGGAAGTACAGGTGACGGAAGCAATGGAGGACACCTGGCGACTTTGGAAATTTGAAAAATTGCGGATTCTCTGAATTCTTAAGATTTGGATTCCTGGATTCCTGGATTCCTGGATTCCTGGATTCCTGGATTCCTGGATTCTTGAATTCCTGGATTCCTGGATTTCTCTCAGGTTCCTAGGTGTCTCATCATCTTTCTACTTCCAAATTTCATTTCGAAAATGCTGTATATGGCTTCTGACCTTATTTAAAATTTTGGATATCCGAAAAAAGAAGATTCTTGAAAGGTTCGTCCTGCGTCAGAATTTTTTTTAGAATTCATGAGGCAGATAGACGAGGAAAAGTGCAACATCGTTTGGATGCATTCTGATGAGAGTGTCAGTTGGTTGGTCAAATGGGGATCCTATGGGGGGCTTTAGAATGTGCAAAAGCTAGAACAAAAAGTGCAGTGTCCTTTGTCTGACCGATCAAAAATACATATCAGTAAAGGTTTTTAGTGATTGGGATCAAAGATAAAGGGATTAGGATCCCTTGCCTAGGTCATAAGAACCAAAACTCGATTTTTAAAATCCGAAATTCCCTGATTCCATATCTTGAAGGTTCTAACTTTTAGATGTCTGGCTTCTAGAATGTTTATCAGATGTTTGAGATCCCCCTTTAGATTCTAGATCACAAACCATATCACATGGCTTATCAGTATTCCTATGATCTTCTTTTTCTTCCCCCTATTTTCATACTCCATCTCCGACGTCTTCATCTTCATCCTCATGAATACATTAAAGAAGAGATGGTGATTAGAAGGAGGAAAAAGGAGATAAATGACGGAAGACGACGGAGAAGAAACTATTTCTGGAAATATGGAGAAAAGGAGAGAGAGAGAGAGAGAGAGAGAGAGAGAGAAAATAGGAAAAAAGGAGAAGCATGTGATGTGAGAATTCCCAATGGAAACGATTGAGGAACTTTGGCAGTTTCTCGTTCAGACAAAATGTATAATTTGCAAGTGGAGCGAAGGCGGGAAATTTGAATTTCTAATAAATGAGTGACTTCACTGAATCATCAAAAGGGGGACATCGAAAAACCCTATACGTGCGCTTTGAGCTCAACTATCTCGGTTTCGGTGGGAGCTATCAAAAATCCGTAAACTGATACAATGTTGTTTATATTATGCTACACATTTTATCAGTTAATAAATTTTCAGATATCTTTTATAGGAACCGATATAATTGAGTTTAAAAAGGCTGAGAGAGCATTTACGGTAGATGGACATCCGGACAAACATTCGTGCTTAATCAATGAAAGAAAATTGTCAACTGACCATTGACTGATAAGAGGAATTGAAAACATATGATTGATAAAACAGGAGGGGAAAATTATGAAGAGTAGGTCATGTTCTGAAATTGAGAACAAACTTTTGTACAGACAGTCCAGAGCCGTCCAAGCCTACTACTTTGATTGTACTTATCTCGATAACTAGGAGAGATGTCACAAAGTTGTTAACTGGAAAAATATCAATCACATTATAACAAATATTTAATTAGTTGAAAAGTTTTGGATATCTTTTACAAGAAACAAGATAAATCAGGTCCAAGTTAAGGGCTATTTCGCTTAAGGCCATTCGGCCCGCACTCGGGCTCTTAACTTTGCCAAAACTTTTCTCGATTACTATGAGAGATACCAAAATTTGTCAATTAATAAAATAATTGGCATATTATAACACTAATTTTATCAGTTGACTACTTTTTGATATCTTTTACAGTAACCGAGATAAGTTGGATGAAACTGGAGGGTGCCTTTCAGTCACGAACTCGGCCTATAGTCGCTTCACTTCATAATTAGGGTCAAAGTTAAGAGCCCGATCTGTTAGAGGCTCATCCCTACTATTAACTTTGACTAATATTATCTCGGTTCTTGTAAGGGGTACCAAAAAATTAGTAATTGACAAAATGTTAAACATTTTAAGAAAAATATTTTGTTAGTTAAAAATGTTTTGATATCTTTGACAGACAATGAGATAAATCCCCAGGTCCCCACAATATCAACTTCGCACAAATGTTTTAACGGTAATTAGGGAAAAGTGATGGTTTAGGACCAGCTATATCATTGATTTATTTGAGTTTATTGAACACTTTGAATTATAAGAGGGCTACAAAAAACAATTTCAACAATAACCTGATCGAAAACATCAATTTAAAAACCAAAAAGACCTCATGCTCGATCATCTAGCGCATCAAATGGTTTTTTTGCTCCTAGACATATGTCCCGTACGTAGTTCGTACTAAGTATGTGCAACTGCTCACACACACACACACGTGACAAACACAAGAAAAATGGGAGAGGGTCTGCTGACGAAGGGGAACAAAACAAAGATCGAAAACTGGAACATTGTTCTCTATGGAACACTTAATTTCATCTTCTCAAAATTTTTATGTATGGATTAATAAAAACTATACGAATGGTTTTCAAAGGCGAACGAGGGTTTATTTTTTCTGGAGAAGACTGGGTCATAAAGTGGTCAATATGTCTTTGGGGGTACGTGCCAGCATGCCGCCAGTCTCTTCCGAAAAGTCGTGTGGTGCGAGAGACAACGAGAAAAAGAGAATTGAAAAACACGGAGAGCGGGTTTGGAGCGACGCAGCATGCGAAAGGAGACACGCCAGGACAGCTGATTGATTCATTTCGGAGAGAGGAGAGGCAGAGACCCACCCGTACACAGACTGGTACTCCAGGACACTTTTCGTACCTGGAACCGAGAGGGGGGATGACTTTTAAAACCCAATTGTTTTGGGGTTAGACCCCCATCTCTTAATTTTTGCTTAAAGTTGGCCAAAAATTCGGGCGGGGGGGGGGGGTACAATGATTCGGGGGTACAAGGGGGTACAACTGATTTAGGGGTACAAAATGGTGATTCGTGGGTACAAAAATTCGGGGGTACAACGATTCAGGGGTACAATCTACCAATGATTCTGGGGTACAACTTATTTCATTTAGGGGTACAACGTTTGTGATTCGGGGGTACAATTTTTTTTGACGAAGTTTCTGAATTCCTGAATTTCAGAGCTTGAAAATCTCTGAATTTTTAGAATTTCAGAACTTTGGAATTTCAGTATTCAGGAATCTGAAAACTTCGGAACTTCAGAATCTCAGCATCTCAGAATCTCAGAATTTCAGAACTTCAAAATCTCAGAATCTCAGAACTTCGGAACTTCAAAATTTCAGAACTTCAGAATTTCAATATTTCTGAATTTTCAATAATCACGGCAGAAATTTTCTTCATTGTCTTCAGAATTCTTAGAATTCCAGAATTCGGAATCTGAGAATTTCGGAACTTCAGAATATGAGAATTTTCAAATTTAAGAATCTCAGAATTTCAGAACTTTGGAACTTCAGTATTTCGGTATCTGAGAATTTTGAACGACAGAAATTTTTCACTTCTCATTGTCACATTGTTCTAAGTCTCTAAATCAGAAGGTCCATTTTTTGGACACTATTGCGCCACAGACATGGTAGCCCCCTTTTTGGCGTCCAAAATTCTTAGCACCTTCTCTATGTACCTTTAAAGGCGCGTATCTCTAAAACCATGGTACATTTCGAAAAGTTGTAAACTACAAAATTGTTTAACACCAAATTTTACGATTTATTCAATTTTTCAAAATGGTACAGCTTTTTTTTGTTTTGAGTTATGATCCTGTCAAGTTCTGTTTAATCTTCAACTTTGAGCAATTTTATCTGTGTTACTGTAGAAGGTATCAAAAAGTGGTCATCTGATAATCTATTGCTGCTTGTATATTAAACATTTTATTAGTTGGGCGTTATTGGATACCTATTCCATGAACCGAGATAAATTGGGTCAAAGTTAGGAGCCCTTCTTTGACAGGACGACCAAAGAGTCCCCTAACTGTGACCAAATTAATCTCGTTTTTGGTGAAAGATATCAAAAATTAATCAACTAATGAAATACTACTAATTTTATGATAAACATTTTGCCAGTTGACTACTTTTTGATATCTTTTACAGTAACCGAGATAAGTTGGATGAAAGTAAAGGGTGCCTTTCAGTCGCGAACTCGGCCTATAGTCGCTTCACTTTGACCCAATTTATCTCGGTTTTTGTAGAGGATATAAAAAATCGGTCAACAAGCAAAATGTTTATCATAAAACTATCAAGATTTCATCAGTTGATGAATTTTTGATATATTTTATAGGAGCCGAGATAATTGAGCACAAAGTGACAAGCATGTCCCATAATTTTTGATCAGAAAACATTCAATTTTCAAAGAGAAATGATCTCTGCCCAACCCAACCAAAAAGATACAAATGTACTTGGGTCATTTGTCATGAGGAGTACTGGTCATCTGGTCTCTTTTTTTCCACCACCAGTGTCACCTGAAAGGACTATCACACGACACACACGTTGGAAGGGAGGCTAAAAAAAGATGAATGAGGGTTTTTCTAGATTTGTGGAACAGATGGACACCCCAAAACACACTTGTGACTTTCGAGGTGTCGGAGGAAACAAGGAGAAGAAGAATTGATACATCACATGGGAAAACTGGAAAAAAAAGGAAAAGGAGAGATAGATGGGAGGCGAACACACAAAATTTGGTGTAGTATAGGTCGAGGGATGAGTACAATGGAACTGACGGATCAAATAAATATGGGGAGCGCTGGAAGTTTTTTTTGCTAAATGAAAAACAGGAATAGTGGGACAGATAGGGTGGGTAAAGTGGGTCATATACAGCACGTGGAAAGTTTGATCTAATAGAAATAACTGTAAATTTGGAATTTCCGAATTTCTGAATTTCCGAATTTCTGAATTTCCGAATTTCTGAATTTCTGAATTTCTGAATTTCTGAATTTCTGAATTTCTGAATTTCTGAATTTCTGAATTTCTGAATTTCTGAATTTCTGAATTTCTGAATTTCTGAATTTCTGAATTTCTGAATTTCTGAATTTCTGAATTTCTGAATTTCTGAATTTCTGAATTTCTGAATTTCTGAATTTCTGAATTTCTGAATTTCCGAATTTCTGAATTTCTGAATTTTTGAATTTTTGAATTTCTGAATTTCTGAATTTTTGAATTTCTGAATTTCTGAATTTTTGAATTTCTGAATTTCTGAATTTTTGAAATTCTGAATTTCTGAATTTTTGAATTTCTGAATTTTTGAATTTCTGAATTTCTGAATTTCTGAATTTTTGAGCTTCTGAATTTTTGAGCTTCTGAATTTCTGAATTTTTGAATTCTCAAAAAATGACCTAGACCTATATTTTGTACAGAAACTAGGTTCATTGACCTCCGCTGACCAAAAAGTCGGAAAAAAAAACAAAACCGGTTACAAAAACCATTCTGAACAAACATATCATCATTTTTCTTATCAAAAAAGAAACAGGGCACTTTTGAGAGAAAAAAAGTGGAAAGTTGCAAAAAAAAAGAAAGAGAAATCATGTGTTGTTTTTTTAGAGAAAAGAGAAAAAACCAAACAATTTTCGATCGCCAAGAGGACAGAGAGGGAGAAAAAGAGTCAATATTGATGAGAGGATCAGTTGAAGAAGAATTGGAAAAATCGGGGAACGAAACAGAAAAAAAAAACAAATATGACCTACTAGATTACTAGATTTTTGGTTCTTTTGATCTCAAAATGATTAGGTTTTGCCCTGTGATTTTGGTTTCTTGGTTTTTTGAAAATTTGTTATTCTGGACGCCCGAAATTATTGTATCCAGAAAATCAGAAATTCAGAAATTCAGAACATTTGGAATTTCGTGATT